AATAAAAGTAACAAAATAAAAAAACCATGGTTTAACGATGAATGTAAAAAAGCCGTTCGTATACGTAAAGCTTCACTCAAAAAGTTTGAACATAGCCCTACAACAGAAAACCTTGAAAATTATAGAATATTTAGAGCCAAAGCTAGAAGATCAGTGCGTCAATCTAAACGCCAATCATGGCAATCTTATGTTTCAAATATTAATTCAAATACTCCTATTAGGAAAGTCTGGGATGCAGTACGAAAAATAAGTGGTAAGTATAAAAAGAGTCCAACTGTTCACTTAAAAACTGGTGATGGCCAATATGCCAAAACCAAAACAGATATTGCAGAAACTTTGGCTAAAACATGAAAAGAACTCTTCTTCAAGCAATTATACAAATACATTTCACCAACATAAATGTAAAGCTGAGAAAGAGTCTATTAATTTTACTTTAACAAACGACGAAGACTATAATTCCCTTTTCTCTATTGATGACTTAATTTATTCAATCAAAACTGCAAAAGATAGTGCTGCAGGCCCGGACGAAATTTACTACCAGTTTCTTAAACATTTACCACCCCAATCCTTAGACTTGCTTCTTGAAATTTTTAACAAAATTTGGGTATCTGGTGAATTTCCCAACACTTGGAAGAATGCGTTGATTATTCCTATCCCTAAACCTGGAAAAGATTCAACTGACCCTACAAATTATCGTCCAATTTCACTTACAAGTTGCCTCTGCAAAACATTCGAGAGAATGATAAATAATCGGTTAGTTTGGTATCTAGAAAATAATGGAATTATCACTAATTTTCAGTCAGGTTTTCGTAAACAGCGAAGTACAAACGATCATCTTGTACGACTTGAGACTTTTATTAGAGAAGCCTTTGTAAATAAACAACACCTGGTATCAATTTTCTTTGATATTGAGAAGGCTTACGACACTACTTGGAAATATGGTATCCTAAAAGATCTAAAGGATGTTGGACTTAATGGCAGACTTCCTCTTTTCATTTCTGGATTTTTACACGATAGACACTTTAAAGTAAGACTTGGTTCAACTTTTTCTCAAGACCACAACAAGAACAAGGTGTTCCTCAAGGAAAGTATACTTTCTGTTACACTTTTTGGCCTTAAAATAAACAATATTGCTAGCGCTCTTACACCAGGCATAGATTGTTCTCTATATGTAGACGATTTTCTTATCTGCTATCGATCGAAAAGTATGAGAACAATTGAACGGCAACTTCAACAAAATTTAGATAAAATTCAGAAGTGGGCAATAGAAAATGGGTTTAAATTCTCAAAGTCAAAAACTCAATGTGTTCATTTCTGCCGATTGCGAAAACAACATAATGACCCTGAACTTTACATATCTGGTTCTAAAATTCCAGTAGTTGATGAAGCTAAGTTTCTAGGAATTATATTTGATAAAAAACTTTCTTTTATACCGCATATTAAACATTTGAAAACTAAATGCCTAAAAGCTTTAAATTTACTTAAAGGTTTTATCAAGTACAAATTGGGGATCAAATTCTTCCACATTACTGAAATTATACAGAAGTCTTATCCGATCAAAATTAGATTATGGTTCTGTAGTATATGGGTCTGCAAGAAAATCATATCTTCAAATGCTAGATACCATACATCACCAGGGTTTACGTTTAGCTTTAGGTGCTTTTCGCACTTCACCTGTAGAAAGTCTATATGCGGAAGCTGGGGAACCATCGCTTTATCTTCGTCGTAAAAAGCTATCACTTCAATATGCAACTAGAATTTCATCTAATAGGAAAAATCCAGCTAAAAATATTATTTTTCAAAACCAAGTTATACTGAAAAATTTGTTAACAAACCAAAGGAAATTAAACCATTAGGCCTTCGTTTAAAAGATGATTTAGATAAACTTAAAATTAATCCAGACTGTATCCTTCAAAATGACGATGAGGATGTTCCACCTTGGACTTATAATTCCCCGGAAATAAATATTAACCTTTCAAATATAAAAAAGGCATCAAATTCACCTGAATATTTCAAAGAGAAGTTTCTAGCAATTAAGGAAGAACATGAAGATTTTATACATATTTATACGGACGGTTCAAAAGAAGGTTGCAAAGTAGGTGCGGCTGCGTTTGAAAATAATTTTTACATCTAGTATGAGGTTTACCAGATAATGCATCAATTTTTACTGCTGAAGCAAAACTATTGATTTAGCATTGTCATACATAGCACAGCATACCCACGATAAATTTGTGATATTTTTCTGACTCGCTTTCTGTTTTAATATCCATTAAAAATAAAAAATCTGACAATATCATGGTAAAGAAACTTCTTTTACGATTTCATGATATACTTAAAACAAAATATGTTAAATTATATTGGATTCCAAGCCATGTAGGAATACGAGGAAATGAAAAAGTAGATGCTTTAGCTAAACAATCATTAAATTTTCAAAAAACTGACTTATTGTTACCTGCTTGTGATTTTAGACCGGCTATAAATAAACTCGTATCATCTGAATGGAAAGCAAATTGGGACAATGCCGTTTTTAATAAACTTCACGATATAAACCCATCTCTTGATATGTCACCATCTCTATCTCTGTCAAACCGCCGTGATCAAACAGTTCTTCTTCGATGCCGAATTGGAACACACTAAAATTACCCACTCTTATCTCCTCACAAATGACAATGCCCCTTTCTGTGTAGGTTGTAATGAAAATTTTACTGTCAAGCATTTTCTTCTTGAATGTCATGATTTTTCACAGGCCCGTAATAGATTTTATTCTGTAAATTCACTTTAAGAACTTTTTAATACAATTCCATCAAAAAACATAATTGATTATTTAAAAGAGATAAATTTGTATTCTAGGATCTAATTGGCTCATTTCTATTGTCATTTAAAATGTTTTACATAATATTTTAAGCCTATTATAGCATTCGGCACGATATAGCCAGTTATGTGTTGACGTGCCGTAAAAGTCCAAACAAACAAACAAAAGTTACTCATATCTTTAAACAAATCTGTGACAAATATCATCAACTTAAGGCAATTTAGAGTGACAATGTTTGTGTAATATTTAAGTAATTGATGGTCTGGTAATTGTCAAATTGAATCGGTATAATTTCACTCTTTTTTATTAAAAGTACATTCAGATCAATATATGTCTCCCCTGCACGATATTTAGTAAAAACGCATCTGATAATTATTTTCAGGCTCTACGTGTATTTACTTACTAGTGTTATCCGCTGATTATGAGATGGTGAAAGGAAACAAATCTATTATGATTGCAATGATATATATTCAGCTCTATCAATTCTATGTCGAAAACAGAAAAAAGTATAACTGAAGAAAAGGTAAGTGTACAGACTCGATCAAAACGACTCTGCAATTTTCATAATTTTGCTATTTTAATGCTTCCGAGTGATCATTTGTTCCAGATATTTATAGAATACAAACCGTCTTTCTAACAAGCATCAAATTGTGGATGACAAACGCATAGTTTGAACATTATTTATTTGTACATGTTTACAAAATATACAAATGTTAATAAAAAGGCCCACTCAAGATTTATACCAATAAAACAAGTAATTTAAATAACAATTTTTTTATTATTTAAATCGAAAATATATGTGCAGCATAGACTCGTTCAATTTGTCTCTTGACAAAATAATTTCCAAATTAGAAGTTGGTTAAAAAAAGAAATTATATTTACATTCCCTGAATGCTGAATCTCCTGGTTTTGATGAACATTATATTTTTTTAAATACCATGTATTTGTTTTCGCGAAGAGACAATTAAATAAGCTCAACATGAAAGATTTGAAACTTTTGCGAGTAGATTTAATTGAACCAAGCTTGAGCATATACATTGGATCAAGGTTTACATACAGAATATATAATTGCAAAATTAAGACAAATGAAATATCAGCTGATTTAATTATGCGGCAGATGTCGACCACTCATGTATATTGAACTAAGGTTATATGTGTTCTATGTATGGAAAAGGAACGTAAGTTCAATTCCTTATCATAAACTTGTTCTGTTCTGTTCTCATGACTGTACTTCGAAATTCTAAAAATAAAAAAAAATATAAAAAAAACAACAGAAAAAAACAAACAAAAAACAATAACGCCGTTTCAATGTTAAATGATGAGTTTTGCCCAACTAGAACAAATAGCATGGACGGTAGATTGTAACAACAGCAGGCTAAATAAAAGCGGGTCTTCAACATTTTCCGGCGACCAGTAATATTACAAATTCATAATTAATAACCTACATGTAAGTTGAGTTAAACGAAATACTGTCGATCAATATAACACATTCACAATTCATTACGATTTGCATATCAAAAAACAATCTTAAACCGGCATATGCCCACTGCGAAAAATACATATAATATACAGGAATATACGGTCCCGTTTTTTTAACATATTTGTGTAATATACGGTCCAAGTATACGAGTCCATATATGGAACATCGGGTATACAGGAAGTCCGTATATGGACCAGGCATATACGGAATTCCGTATTTGTTCCATATATATGTATGTATATTCAATCGTATTTTTGTAGTATACGGGGATAAAAATGACGTACACGGACTTTATCGATGCCATTTTCTCTAGTATACTATAGATATACAGTGGATATACTGAACAGTAGTTTTGAGATATACAGGTTTGTATTTTCTACATAACATATACACAGGATATAAGGAACCGTATTTTCTACATATTCAGTGGATATACGGAATCGTATTTTCTACATATAGATTGGATATACGGAATCGTATCTTCTACATATACATTGGATATACAGAATGGTATTATTGATATATATTCAGGGGATATACGGAATTGTATATTTTAAGCAATGCAGTGGGTAAACTGAGCTGATTGTTTAGATATAAGAGTACGGATAATATCAAATATATGCATGAACATTTGACACGCATACATGGCTGAAATACAGGTTTGTACATGTTTGATTATACATTGTGACTGAGAACCATACATTCATATGCATAAAGACTTTATTATTATTGGCAGTATTTGAAGTAATAAAGCTAAAACCAAGGCGCTAATGTATTATTATCTATCCTATTATGCTCGGAATTTGGCTGCCAGTTGCAAGATATTTAGTCAGATCTACTTCCGTCATCTGATAACCTGTTCCTGACTGTTTCATGATGTTATTTATTGCGTCATAGTGGTGCGTGATAGATGTTCCAGAGCCGCTTCCTCCATAGGTTAATACAAATAAAAGAACTATTTCTCCATCTAGAACAAGAAACACTGGATTACCACTATCACCTACAATTTTCGTTTCGAAATATTGATAACGAATAGAGGAATGCAACGGTGTACGTAGAGAAACCATGTTACTGCTTTCATATGAAAAATCTGCTACAAGCGCCTTTTCTTCAAAATCAGTATCAAATACTGGTATATATACTCGTCCTGGGCGGATGGTTGTAAGATTTCGTGGCAATACCTTTGCAAAAGAGATACTTGCAGGAACGTCTTGGTCTAGTTCGCCAATAACAATGTCGTATCCACGTAAAAATGCATGGCCGTGTGTTGGAACCGAGTTTGTTTTAACAATCCGTCTGTCAACAACATTATTGTTCTTGTCAACAAAACGTAGAGTTGTGTTTACATTTATACTGTAATGTCTTGCCCAAAGGGCGTGACGAGGGCTTATCAATGTTCCGGCTTTTCGTGTATGACCCAAGCTGTTCCATGGTGATATTGCCGTGAGGTCAAGGGTGTGAGCCCAACATTTGCTACTACGAACGTAGTGCTTATGATTGTGATCTTGTACAGAGAAAATCTTCTTTTGCTCATCTAAAGTTGCTCCTGATGCATTTGCTTTCAGTAAAAGATCGTCTATTCCATGAATAGCTGCATTATAGAAGTGATCCTGAAACGATTCAAATATATCAAAATCATTTGTAACAGCTATTACATACAAAAACAAAATTTATAAACTATGTGCAATTTTATGATGATATTGCAGATGTTCCTCTTTCAAAAGCAATTTGAGACAATGGATATTCTGTCTGAAATATCTTACCAGATATAAACCCGGTCGGAGAAAAATGCAAATAATTTCGCGTCATAAAAGTTTCATATTTTGTTCGTGTCTCTGACATAAAAACAAAACTATTATATAATACTGTATTTTGAAGATACGGAAAATTAAAATTATTATGCAAAGCTATATTAGCCAGTTATTAAAAAGCAATTAATGTTATTAAGACTTTACCTCAAAGACTGTGTACGTAGGGGTGGTCACCTTTGTGGCATGTTCCAGTATAAGGATAGCAACGTCACATGAAGAATTGACGGGTAAGTGTAAAACGTGTAACATTTGGGCGGAGTAATCCGTCACAACCGGCCTTTAGAAAAGCGCACCTACCAATTAAATAAGCGTGAATTATATAACAATATTCGTTTTTTCTTAATTCCGTGGAAATAAAAAGGATAAAACATGGAACCCTAAAGAACGTATAAAACGGCAAAATTCAAACAGTCTTCTAGGAAAGTGTTGGTAAACACAAGCTACTTTTTCCACTCTCCCTAGCACCGGCTTAGATTATATTTAAATCAATTTTGAACATTCTTTTGTATGAAAGTACAATTTAAATACAAAGAACTATGACTGAAAAGGTCAGGAGTGATGAATAACTATTATAAAACATGCGAACAACCAAAGTGCCCTACAACAATACCGCATACTTCTATTTTCATTTGAACATAGCAATAAAATGAATCTTACTGTGACAATTATACAGGAACAATGAATAAATGCAACTAAATCCATTTATTATATACTTAAAAATGAAATATTGATGAAATAAAATGCGTATTTTTATTTTCCGTATTTTCACTGTAATTTTTTTTTTCACTGCAGAGAAACATATTTTCCGTATTTCACTGATGTTTTACCGAACTGCTTTCTTCAAAATTTAGCCAATACGTAAAATTAAAAGGAAATTCTTCTGTTCATAAGGTTAAAAAAGAGAATAAGTATAAAACAAACAGAAAATTCAAGTTTTTTCTATTAATACTTGATTTATTTTCATCTTGTGGGATGAAAATTATCATATTTCATTCCTGGCTACTGCCACTTGTGAAATAAATATTTTCAGACCACTCGATGAAAATAAGTCCTGTATTTAAAGAAGAAACTTAAATATCCTCTATTTATTATACTCATTTTAGTAAACAACTAAAATACAAAAAGATGTCCTTTTCCTCAATTTATTTTCAAACTATTCTTCAACTATTTCAAACCAGAGTCATACAATCTATATCTATATATTGAGATCTTAAAGTTTAAAATAACAATAAAATTACATTACACATAAAATTATCTAATCAAAGTGAAATAAGTTTCATTCAACAAACCATTTCAACTTTGACTGAAATAAACAAAAGATGATGATTTATAATCTATGACCTGTTTTCATTCACATTTATTATCATTTTGCCTTCTAACATATAATAAAGATTAAAACTTAAGTTCCCACTGAATACTAACAAAAACAAAGTTTCCGGAAATAAACTCTACTGACAGAAAGTGCCATGTTTACTTTTCTATTAAATTATGCCAATTGATCAGATTAAACGACGAAAAGTTTAAACACATGCGATGTCATTTTCCTCAATTTATTTTCAAACTACGTTTTAACTATTCAAAACCAGAGAAATACAATCTATGGCTCTTCAGAGGAAAGGACTTTAGAACAACAACTGCCATAACAATAATAGACCAATCATCTTTAGTGTACATTATGTGACCCTTAATTCCTACCAATCAGATTTAATGTTGAGTAATGAAATTTGAAATCATCCAATGAAACAATGTTTACTTTCTAATAAAAGTATAAACTGAAACCCTGTAAAGTCTTGACAAATCAGCTTGTTGTTAATGATAATATTAAAATTTCTTTTGTTACATTTACTATCGAAACGTCTGAAATAATATTAATTATCTTGTTAAAGCGATTACAGTACATTGGTTAACTTAGATCGTCCTATCTGTATTTGTTCTTATGCTTTCTGTTATTACACCTTACCGACATTAAAGCGTACGTTTGGAAATAAAAGCAAAACAAAATTAAAAAAAAATTGTGAACATTGTGAATATTTTTCTTAATGCATAAATGATTCACCAACATGTGATTCAAATATATCTTTAAAAAAAGCGTTCTTACCAATCATTGTATTCTTTTCCGTCGTAGCAAACAGTTCTGTTTGGATCCGTTGAACATTTATCTCGGAATTGTTTCGGAATGCAAATAGTTGGGAAATATTCGACTGGCAGCGCTAAACTTACTCCTGTAAAAGATCAAATATTAGTTGCTTTTATAATCAAATCAAATAATGATAATAAAATAAATATCAAAACAAAAGCACTAAATAATTAACAAAAACAAACCCTAAACAATTGTTATGTAATGCAAGCAAAAATTGTCATACCAGTAATGACGCTGAAGGATAACATAGTTATATAAACACCAAACATCTTTTGTTTATGACCCCTTTAAAAAAGTGTCGACTGTTTGAAAGTACAAACAAAATCGTTATCTTTGAGCATAGTCTTTAAAGTAACAGACTTCCTTATCATTGTCAGGATTTTGACAAAAATAGAAAAAGTATTTATTTACATGAACGAAATGATGAATAAAATTGTATTTTAAATCGACGATTATTTAGAAGATAGAATAATTTTTTATTTCATTGATAAATGAATAACTTTATACATGGTCGTATAATTTATTATATACTTATAAATGAAATATTGATGAAATAAAATGCGTATTTTCATTTCCCGTATTTTCACTGTAAAAATTTATTTTTCATTGCAGTGAAACATATTTTCCGTATTTTCACTGGTGTCTTGCCGGACTACTTTCTTTTAAATTCTGCCAGTACACAAAATTTAAGGGAAAGTCTTTCAAATTTTATAGCAAAAAAGAGAAAAATGTATATAATAAACAGAAAATTCAAGTTTTTTCTATAAATACATGATTTATTTTCATCTTGTGGCATGAAATTTACCATATTTCACTCGTGGCTACCGCCACTCATGAAATATTTATTTTCATACCACTCGATGAAAATAAATCATGTATTTATAGAAAAAACTTAAATATCCTCTATATATTTAATTGCAAGTACATTATCAGTCATATAAAAAGTTATTTGTTTTTAGGTAATACAGTGCGGTCATAAAAAGTATAAAAGTATCAGTGAATTTCAGTTTCAAAATGCACTAATAATGTATGGCCTTTATAAAAGAAAACAATATCCAAGTAAACTGCAGAATGGTAGTTCAAAATGATATGATACATTGAGTTAAGAGAAGATAAGTCGTTAATTATAATATGAATAATAAAAAATCAAACAAATATTCATGCTTCTAAATAAAGGAATCGTTGCTCGTTTCATAAAATAGTATAACAATAAATCAGTAAAGAAGTACGTGCAAACTTCAGAAAACATAATCAAACATTGAAGCAACATAAGTTTGTTCAATTTATCATACAAGTTAGGAGTAATTGACCCGGGCTATGACAAATATAGGGCAACAGAAGGCACTTAAGAGTTAGATTATTGTTTATTATTCAGCGTTGTTTGTGCCGTGTGGAGGCCGTAAAAAGTCGCCCCGTACATTCAATCAGGGATGTTATATTTCCGATCTTTAAAGATCGTTCAGCAAGACATAATTGTTGTGCTTGTGTTATTTTAGTTCTTTCTATTCGGCATCTTTCTTGTTGGGTTGTTCCAGTATTCCTAACTTGAATACTGTTGAACCACCCTTAGGATATGTTGCCTGCTTTTTTTAATTTGTTTTTTGACGTCATATATGTGATATGCAGGCTTAATAACCTCAGATCCCCTTTCAAAATTCCATTTTATTTAGTTCCGCCAATTCTTTTCTCGTTTAAGGCACATGCATTTTTTTTACTTGGGGACCATATGTCGCTTTTCATGGAATGGCACTAACGTGTCACATTGAAGGTTCCATGATAACCGCCATATCAACACATCTGCGGATGTTTCAAAATTCTACTAGTTCATATTAAATGTTGAATTCTGCTTAAGCCGGTGCTAGGGGGCGTGGACGGTAGTTTGCACTTGACAATAACGTCCATGAACAGGCTCAATCAAACCGAGCCTGCAACATTTTCAATATGCCTTGTTGAACTTTCTTTTGGGATTCTTATTCCTCTCTGTTTTAAAAGGTGGAAGATTAAGATTTGATTATATCAATTTAAAATTACTTTCCCAGAAATCGATAACAAATAACAAGTATATAACCCGTAGAAAATTGACAGAAGTAGTTTTATTTTACCCTTGCGACTAGATACATTTTGGAAATTGTATTTCCAAAATGTTGAGCTCTGAAATTGTAATCATCTTCAATAACACCATCATTCATTTTAAACTATACTGCCACTGGTATATTATCAAACGTCTAGACTTTATAAAACAATGCAAATTATGTGAAAACATTACTGCATCTTAAGTCGTCTTTTCCCCTAACAGTTATTACTTTTGTACTTACCATGTGCAAAAGCTAGACAAGCTTTCGACATAATAATGTCCTGTAGGAAATTGTATTTTGTTGAAATATGTTATCTTACTCATCTCACGGCCAATTTCTGCCAGAATTCGGCAGATTCATATTTACGGCATTCTCGATAAACTTCAAATCGAGTTCTTAGAAGGCAGATTGAGTATTTTTGGTTATTTGTAATTACCGGGTTGCGTACATCAAATGGAATTGTGAAGAGTTTAGGCTTTTGAAAGGGATGTGTGTTTTTCATTCTGAATTGTATGACATTTTGCATTACCCTTTGTACCATTTACCAACAGAATTTTATATTTCATAATGATGTTCATTATTATAATTGAATTATATCCCTTTATTAACACCTTGCTTTCGCATGAAATCAGACAAAAAGTCTTGTTAAAATATACATATAAACGCTCTTTTCCATATGATTTATATATTTATTATTCTCCAACTTAGTACGCTTTGAAATTCAAAAGAAATAAAAGCAATATAAAGCAAGCAACACAAATCAATTCGTCAATACTTGGCATGACTTTGGTATAATTTGTATAATTTGTCTAAACAACAGGGCAATGATGGCCCTAGATCGCTCACCTGACCCATCTAACTCATCCGAACAATTACATAGACAAGCATTCTGACCAAGTGTCATGACAGGTGAGTCAAAAATGTGACAACTAGAGTGTTAACAAGAATTATCCATATCTGAGCAGTGTGACCTAGTTTTTTACCCAGGTGACCCATATTCGAACTTGACCTAGAAATCATGAAAACAAACTTTCAGACCAATATCCAGGATACTTGGATCAAAACAGTAGCCACTAGAGTGTTAATAAGATTTTTCGATTTTAGTTCTGGTGACATAGTTTTTCATGCGAGATAACCCATGTTCGAAGTCATCCGAGCAATTACATAGACAAGAATCCTTTCCAAGTTTGATGAAAATTGAGTCAAAAATGTGACCACTAGAATGTTAACAAGGTTTTTCCATATCTGGGCGGTGTGACCTAGTTTTTCATTCGAGATGACCCATGTTCTAACATGACCTAGATATCATCAAAACAAATTTTCAGACCAATTTAAAGTATATTTTGATCAAAACAATAGCCACTAGAGTGTTCATAAGATGTTTCTATTTTTAGCTCCGGTAACCTAGTTGTTCATCCGAGATGACCCATGTTCGGACTCATCTGAGCAATTACCTAGACAAGCATCCTGACTAAGTTTTATGATAATTGAGTCAAAAATGTGACCACTAGAATGTTAACAAGGTTTTTCCATATTTGGGCAGTGTGGCATTGTTTTTAACCCCAGATGACCCATATACGAACTTGACCTAGAAATCATCAAAACAAACTTGCAGACCAATTTACAGGATAAAAACAGTAGCCACTAGAGTGTTAACAAGAATTTTCTATTTTTAGCTCCGGTGACCTAGTTTTTCATCCGAGATGACCCATGTTCAAACTCATCTGAGCAATTACCTAGACAAGCATCCTGACCAAGTGTGATGATACTTGAGTCAAAAATGTGACCGCTAGAGTGTTAACAAGGTTTTTCTATTTTTAGCTCCGGTGACCTAGTTTTTCATCCGAGATGACCCATGTTCGAACTCATCCGAGCTATCATCTAGACAAGCATCCTGACAAAGTTTGATGATGATTGAGACAAAAATGTGGCCGCTAGGTGCAGGAATACATGTATTTTTATTCATATCTAATAGAAGGAATAGTATGCTATTAAGAGCACACACATTTCTAGTTTGCATTTGTTTTTGCTAAAATGTGTATCCGAAATATGTAACAGCAATTGTATATCATAAATATGAAACATATTATAACACAATGGCAAATGATTTTATTAGCCATTAAACAGAACGAGTGCTTTTTAAGAGAAAGTTTGTTTTATAGGTAAACAACAATGCATTTATCCTTTTTGAACGAATTAACAGTAGTTATCACCTATTTAGCAATTTTAAAAGTATTTATTCAAGATAAATATTTTTCTCCACGCAGTTAATCAAAAGATGTTTATCATTTAAAGAAATAATGAACTCACAATGAGAGATTTGAAGAATAACAACATACTTGTACTTAATAACATCTGGCATAAAGAGATAAATATATCAGCCATTCACACAACCTGAAAATCAATCTATGGCTATTGTTACATTATGATGAAAATAAATATGTGTCAGTACTTTTGAGTTAGAAATATACACAAAAAAAGAAATTTGATTATATTGCCTTAATATAGCACGGAATACTCGCATTTGCTTAGTCTGGAATTTTACATAATCAGATAGGCGGCACGTCCCGCAAAACGAATTAAATTCCTGATTCACTTTGACAGTACAATATTTTTTGTCACGTGTCTGATGAAAGAAATCTTGCTATATGATACCAAAATCGTTTTTTTCACGCAATCACATTACAACAACCACAGTTCCAAAGCATCCCATTTTATGTAATGTTCATATTTATGCTTGTATTGTTCTACAAACTACAACTGCACGCGCGACAAAAATAAGCGAGTACGTATTAAGCGATGTGATTTAATATAAAATAAAGAAGGAATCGGCCGGGGATGTCAGATTTAGTTCGCTATTAACGATAATTTGTTATAAGCGAGTTCGTTATAAGTGGAGTCGAGTGTATACTTATACCGCTATTGAATATATTCCTTAAAAATATGTTGTTTTTCTTAGTTGCATCAAAATACTTCTGTGATGATCCAGAATTATCCGGTCCGAAAATTTTCATGTTTTCTTCATTTATTTTATACCTGCGCAAAAATTGCACAATATTATTGATTTAATGACATCCAGCATCATTTTCGGTCGCGCTAATTTTAAATAACAATTGAAATGCCACAGCGTCGCAGCTAAAAACAAACAACAATTTGCAATTTTATAATACACCAAAGCCCTTATAGAAAAATGGATCTTATCTAAAAATTGCCGGTGCTTGGTTTAAAACCCGAAAATATCATGGGAAAATTTCATGTCATTTGATCAT